TGTGCCTAGCAACGCCCCTGGTTCTCACTGTCTCGAATGATACAGTCTCCCTTGTGAAGTTTGGTCCTGCAATACATTCTATAGTTCTTGAGGGAGAGATTGTGGTATGTGATATACTATAGCACAGTTAACAGAGACATTCATTTTGCTTTTTGGCTTGATTTATGCACTACATCTACAGTATCCCAAGAAATTGACATAAACATCCAATTTCATCCAGAAAGTTGTAATGGGTTTGGATGACCTGAAGCGGTTACCTCCGAGACTGCTTAGCCTTAAAAATGATCTGATGATGGATGAGTAAGCAGTCTGCTTAAAAGATGTCGTTGTTACTACCAGCATGGTGATACTCAAGCAACCATTTTGTCTTTGTTTTTTGTTTTCGCTTTTTTATTTATGTTGGCCTATTATTGTTGGCCTATTATTTTTGGATCGGCCTATTATGTTGGCCAATTTTTCGTTTTTTGTGGATACAGAGAAGCCGATGTTTCAGAAGGCAGCTTTAAACAGACCTGCAGATTTGTAATTGTTTTTGACTTGATCATTTCAGTGTTTGGCTTGAGGTCCCAGAGTTTTGTACGGAAATGCTTTGGTCTGCCTTGAAGTCACTGGGAACTAAAAGATCTTTTACGGTTTTATTTGCTGAATAAATAAAACCGTATTTATTCAGCATTTTGATTAAAAATGTGGTTGTTATTTATTTTATTTTCTGTATTAACCCCATTGCTGGGGACATTGTTCTGAATTCTAATGGAATTCATAAATAAATGGAATCTGCAGTAAAATTGTCTTTTGAATATTTTTTTATTTGAATCATACAAATAAAATATATTTGATTTTGAGAAAAATTGCTAACATATACAGGCAATAAAATGTGTTTAAATACAGTTAAGTCAACTTAAAAATATAAAAGGCTGAATTGACAATGTTTAGGTCTGAGAAACTGAATGAGTCATGGTGATAACATGAAGATATTATTAGGGGTGATAACTTAAAAAAATCAACTCCGTGTCCAGTGTCAATTTTGTTAGTTTTAACATTAGTTTCAAAATGATCAGGTTCATTAAACTTATCAAAAATTTAAGTAGTGATTACTTAAAATGTTAGTTTGTGAAATTATTATGTTTCAGTTCATCAACTTCCTCAAAATAAATGAGTGTGAATAACTTTTCTAGTTTAGAGTAGAAATTACTTAAAATGTTTGTTTGTTGAAATTATTTGTTTTAATGTTGTTCATTTGACCAAAGATTTTAAGTGTAAAGAGCTTGTCTAACTAATGTAGTAATTACTTAAAACATCTTTTTCTCACATTATTCTTTTTAATTTTATCCTTGTCCTCAAAGATTTTGAGCACTAACAAAAGTCTCATTTTAAGTAGAAATTACTTAAAATATTCTTTAACATAGCTAAATATTTTGAGGTAATCAGTTTCATCAAATATTTTGAGTTCATTGAACCTGTTGGGGTTTACAGTGTAAGTCTACTAAGGTTTGATATGGGAAAAGCCGCATGTGAACACCTTGATAAATGCTACCTGCACTCTTTTTAAACCTGAAACTATCATTAGCAGAGTCTTCCTCAAAGGGGCTCACATAACAAAACACGGTCATCAACAAAGTCTCTTCTGAGCACCTAATTAGGAAACAGACTTTAAGTTAGCCTCATTGTTAAAAGTCTGTCCGTTTGCTTAGCACCACATTACCCATAATGTAGGGTGACCATATTTTCATTTGGGAAAACCAGGACACCTTTGAGCATGGGGGGGGGGGGTGTGTGACATAGAGATGTCTGTGGCATGCACTCTTAACATTGACCTACGTAATCCAATCCTACAACAACATTATATTCACAGTTGCTTTATTAAAAATGCTTTTCAGTAAAGGTCAACAGCAATAACTCCAACAACAAACGATAATTTTATTCAAAATGTATTTATTAAAAATGCTTAACAATTCCTGTAATGAATAAATAGCACAATGAAAGAAATAATGTCTCATCATCAGGATTTTCTCAGTGATCAGAGGAAATGTTACTTGGCGCAGAACAGTGGTGAAAATTGGAAGTTCAGTTTAATATAATCCAGTCTGTGAATAGTTCCGTCTGAAATGAATGAAAACTTTGTTTTAATGGTTATAGAGTCAGATATGTGGCGGTAATGTTTAATTTATCTAAAGGTTTTTATCTGTTACTGTGTAAATGGGTTTGGCTGTAATTTAAGGACAGATTGGGGACTATAAATCTGATAGGAGTTAAAAAATGTTATTGCTGTTTTGCACAATATGCTTAACTAAGTATTTTTTGTTGTTGAATATTAGAGATTTTGCAGATATATTTTATACACAGATTGTTTAGATTTACTTTTATATTTCTAACCCTTTTATGGAATAGAAAATCCCTTTATCCTCCCACAATGGGCAAATTTACAGCAGCAGAAAGATTATTAAAAATGGTCACACAAATGTGGACCTTAGAATAATGTATAAGAATAACATAATAGGGAAGAGTTAAAATATAAACAATAAAATTCTGTAAAGTGTTTTACCAATATAAATGTTAAGAATAAATAACCAATATGCAGCTATGGACATTTTTACAGTAATGGGTATTTGAAAATAGCAGCAACATCAGAGATGTGCAGAATGACAGCAGCAGGTTATTTAACTGACTAAGGTTTCTATCATTACATTTGATTTGATCTGTTCCTGCTCCCGGTGGTTGGAACCTTTATTCCACTCTGGATTCTTGTGAGTGTAGTCTTTGTTCACTTTAACTTTTTAATAAATAAATAAATAAACAAACAGTTTTGAAAAGCTCGGTATTCATTCTTTTCCTGCTTTGTGTGTCAACTTTCACGGTTGCTAAGCAACAGAGCATACGGCGGTAAAACCCCCCGAAGGGAGGACCTGTTCGAATTTACAGCCAAAACTCTTCCGGCCTCCTTATTTTCAAGGACTTCGAAGGATCCAGTCTAGGTAGACCGCGGTCTTGGAGGATGCAGCCCAGGATTTCGAACAGAGCCTCTGATTAAGAACAGGGCTGCCCTCACTGACGCAGCTCAGGGATTACGTCACACGGAGCGTCGAAAAAATCAGGACATTTCCTCACTTTCTAAAAAAAACCCGGGACGCCCGGGACAGGACGTGAAATACGGAAATGTCCCGGGAAATACGGACGTTTGGTCACCCTACATAATGCAATCTGTTCATTTTGTAGTTGCGATTTCACGTAGCTGAACAAGTTGTTTTTCTGTGCTTCTGGGTTTTTCGGTGTCATAAAGATAGCATCCACAGATAGCATCCACCATATATCCCTTCTTAATTCCATGTGTATGAAACGTGTGCTTATTTTACGATGTGAGGATACCTTTCATGTCCGATATTTGTGTTTTATATTGAATATTTGCCCGGAAGGTGAAATCGTCCTTGTGTTTCTCTCGTTACCGACAATGGAAGAGTTTACTTACAAGTTTAGTTATAATACTTAAGTTCTATTAATTGTCTATATTGTCATTGTATTAGCATATGAGAGCATTCCCTTTCATTTTATATTTTCCGACACTTTTTTGTGATTTGTATGTTTATTGCATTTGACCGATAATGCATGTATCTTGTTATGGCGCCCCCCAGTGGATTTCTATGATACTACAGGCCATTTTCATCTTCATCTATGTGTAGCCGTGTTGCCAGCATTGCTATAATATGTACCTTTAATGTTTCTTCTGATTCAGATAAACACACACCCTCAAACATGTTTCTTTGAAACTAAATATAAGCACCTCATCATCATCTGTACCATCATCTCCATTGTACCTGCTTCTATTCTATCAATTAAGCTGCACCGATGGAGTTGACATATTCCTTCTGACCGAGGAAGATTCAATTGATGAGAAACCTGAAATTAGTGCATATTAAATGCGAACAGTCTTCTAAAATCATAGTTTTTTGTTTTTTTTTTATTTTTTTTATTCCTGCAGTAGTAAATGTCAGGTTTAGTTTTGAGAAGCCAGGTTCTTTTGGTGCTTTTTAAAGAGAACGTTGCACAATAAGGTTTTCACACAACCTGAAGCATGTGGACTCATTGTAATGTTTGAGACAGAGTTCAGTGCCTGACCCCTTTTGACATCCTTTCATCACTCTCTCCCCTGTCGTCTTTTTTCTTTTGCCATCATTAGGATCCTCTTACAGTTAATGTGACACAGCTGATTGAATAATTAAATGACACAGGGTTTCTGCAAAGTACTGCGCAATATCCTGTGCAATATGCTGAATGTGCAATATTTCTCCCCCTGCATATAAGCCATCCGGATTGTACATGTTTGCACCTTCTGTAACTTCTATGCCAATATGTGACGAGTGAATTTCTCCGCTGTGAGATCAATAAAGCTCATCTAATCTTATTTCTAATCTTAATTTTAAGATGTTTTTATGACTAGAAAGTTAGATTTTTGAGTGGATGAAATTCTTAACGGTTACTTTATATTAAAAAAACATTTATATATTAATAAATATGTTATTGAAGTAACATATATTGTACCTCAGAGTTGTTTGTTTTGTGGTGCAGTTTGTAGCACTGTTGCCTTCCAGCAAGAAGGTCCCAGGTTAGCTATTTGCATAGAGCTTGTCCTCCCTGTCCGTGTGTGTGGTCTCTCTAGGTACCCCCAAAGAGAACACACACATGCTTCCTCCCAAAGTCCAAAAACATGAATGTTTGGTTACCATCTCCAAGTTTTCCTTTGGTTTGTGCGAGGTGTGTGCATGATCGCATGTTTCTGTGCATCCATGCTCCCCTGTGTTGGACTGGCGACCTGCCCATTGTCGACCCTGTAGTCCAGGCATGCCGGACCCGGCCCGTTGGATGATTTAATCCGGCCCGTCATAAATTTCTGAGTATGTCAAAAAAAGAAGCGAGTCTCTAGCTCATTTCTATCAAAAGTTATGATTCTTTAAAATAAATACAACTCAAATGCTCCCTCCGGCCGCTAGAGGGCAGTAAATGTGTAAAAGAGCTCAGGTCCAGCATGCGGCACTGACACGAGTTAGTACCAGGAAATAAACATTTGCAACGTGATGTGTCCAACTAGAAATAAACCGGCAAGCTTGCTTCACCATTCACCACTACTACTAAACAACTTATCGGTCAACACACCCTTCCAAAAATGGCACTGTCAAAAAAAAGAAAAGTGGACACGGAGTGCAGGGTTTTCAAGGAAAAATGGACTGAGAATTATTTATTCACAGAAGTGAGTGCAAAACCAGTGTGCTTGGTTTGTAAACAGCAAGTTGCAGTGCTCAAAGAGTTTAATATTCGGCGCCACTACGAGACTCATCATAAAGACAAGTATGACCACTTGAAAGGACAAATAAGAAAAGACGAGATAAACAAATTGGTCGCTGGTCTGAAGAAACAGCAGTCTGCTTTTACGCGCAGCCGCGAAATCGCGGATGGGGCTGTAAGAGCCAGCTACATTATTGCCAACGAGCTGGTGCAGGCATCCAAGCCATTTGCTGATGGGGAGTTTGTAAAAAAATGCATGCTGAAGGCTGCAGAAGTCGTGTGCCCTGAAAAGAGACCTGCCTTTGCCAATATTAGTCTAACGAGGAACACTTTCGCTGATCGGGTGACAGAACTCTCAAGTGACTTGAGCAGCCAATTAAAAGAGAAAATCAAATAATTTATCGCATTTTCAATTGCAATAGATGAGAGCACCGATGTCACAGATATTGCTCAGCTGGCCATATTCATTAGATGCGTTGATGAAACTTTGACCATCACCGAGGAGCTGCTTGAATTGGTGCCCATTAATGACACCACAACAGCAGATGACATTTTCAGCGCTCTCGTTGGAGCGCTGGACAAGGTGGAGGCGGACTGGTCCCGTGCTGTGAGCCTGGCGACCGACGGTGCGCCATCAATGGTGGGGAGAAAGGCAGGCGTTGCCACAAAATTCCGTGACAAAGTACAGACCGCAAATGGAGGACAGGAGTTTTGGGCATTTCACTGTATTTTGCACCAGGAGGCGTTATGTTGCAAAACACTGCAAATGGACCATGTTATGAGCGTGGTTGTGAAAACTGTCAATTTCATCAGAGCTTGCGGTCTAAATCACCGCCAGTTTGACTCATTTCTCAGTGATCATGACATTCATGCTGGCCTACCATATCACACTGACGTGCGCTGGTTAAGCAGAGGTGCAGTACTCAAGCGCTTCTTTGAGCTACGAGGCGAAATTGGACAGTTTATGGAGAAGAAGGGACGCCCAGTAAAGGAACTTCAATGCAAGGAATGGGTGCAGGATCTTGCCTTCATGGTTGATATTACGCAACACTTAAATACACTTAACACTACATTGCAGGGCCGTAACAGAGTTGTCACTCAATATCACGACAGCATAAGTGCGTTCAAGATGAAACTGTCACTGTGGGAGACGCAGCTATCCAGCGGTGACACCAGCACTTCTCATGTCTCACAGCTGTGCGGCCGAAGGCACCGGATCGTCCCGATTTGGATAAATATAAAGAAAACATAACAGATTTGCTGCGAGAGTTTGAGCGGAGGTTTCAGGTTTTCAGTGAACTTGAGAACAAGTACGGCTTTTTTCGCTCGCCATTTACAGTGAAGCCTTCTGATGTGCCAGCTGACATTCAGCTCAAGCTTATTGACTTGCAGTGCGATTCCGCTATGAAGGATAAATTTGGATCCGTGGGATTGGATACGTTTTATCAGTATCTTGTGCCAGGTTACCCCAAATTAACAGCCATGGCTGCAAAGGTTCTCTCCATGTTTGGGACTACTTATCTTTGTGAACAGGTGTTCTCCGTGATGATCAATAATAAAACAAAGCAGTGCTCAAGGTTAACAAATGAACACTTGAATGACATTGTTAAATGTGCTGCTACTCAGGATTTGACACCTGATATCGACGCACTTGTAAAGGCAAAAAAATGCCAAGTTTCAGGAGCCAGCAGCAGCAAGTAGACTGCAGGAGTGCAGTGAGAGAGAGAAAAAAGTGTGATGACACGACATTTGTTTGCACTCATGAATGCAGATAATTAAAAATAAGATTAATCTGGTTTCATATTAAAGACAATTAATATTGTGCAGTATATTCTCAGCTTCAGTAGGCCGAGCCTAGTAGTTTGAGCTGATGTAGTCTAATCTTATTGCCCATGCACTGCTAAAACTTTTATTTTGTATTTTTATTTATTATTATTTCAAAGCAGTATGACAGTTAAGGCAAAACATTTTTTTCCATAGCTCCCAAGTTTGTTTAGTGTGGTGAGTTGGTTCAGGTGTAAAACTGCATTCACTCAACTGTTAAAATAAACCAGTTGTTAACACATTCAATGCCAAACATGAAAATAATTTTTTTTCTCCATTGTTTGTGAATAAATGTGTTGTGAAAAGATCCCTTGTCATCCGTGATTAAAATATGTAGGGTAGGCTACAAATGTAGGCTGAATGATAAAGCATAGTACTGAAAAACAAAGCTAAATAGTTGGAGTTGACATTACTGACCCGGCCCACCTGAGAACAGAAAGTCTGGATCCGGGCCCCAGAGCCAAACTGAGTTTGACATGCCTGATTTAAAGCAATGATAAAATAGCAGACATTTCTTAAGCCTTTAAGCCGGGCATAGAGTGTGTGATTTTTTCAATCGTTGCACTCAGCTACAGCTCACGCTGTACGACGAAACCCTGTGGTTTCATCGTACAGCGTAAGTTCACAGCTTACGGTGTATGTTCTCACACTGTGTGACCTGACGCTCTGATGCGATCTACCTGCTCACACTGTAAGTCTAAAAACGACGTCTGACTCAGCTCCGCAGTGAGACTACTCATCTATACGGAAGCCAAATTAATAGAAGAAGAATATGAAGCTCACTAGAGTGAAACGCGCTGCTTTGGTAATTTGTTCAATTTTGTGCTGAAAGCCCTAAAAAGAAAAGGAGACGGCGTATTTAGACAAAAACATGGCTGAGCAAACATGGCTACTACGGTCTGTCAATTTTACAGAAAGAACTCCATTTCACTAATTGCACCCCCGCCATGATTCTGTGTTTTCCTCTGAGAGGAAGAAAAAGAATCTTTGTTTCTATTGGTTCGGTTGGTTGTGCTGTTCTTTTTCCATCTCTTTGCAGGTGATGAAGCAGAATGAAGATGTTTTATTGTAATCTCCTTTTTTGTTTCCTCTTGCTTTAAACTTTTCTCAGTTTTTTTCTGTTTTTCCTTTCCTCTGATACCTACATTACAGTGTAAATATAATCTGTAATACTCCCTGCACAAATTATAACAAAGATTTATATGCATAAATCAAGCGGAACACTATGGCGATAGCCGTACTGCTCCACTCCTGAGAGCAAAATCTGTTAGGCTCTTTTTTTGGCATCAAGACAATTATTCTTATTGCCACATTACCAGACAGGACACTGTTTAAAAATAATAATAATAAAAAATCCTTGTTTGCGCACAACACTCCAGAGAAAATCAAACATGTTAGATTTTTCTCCCGACCTCACGATTCCTGATGGGGAGGTTGTCGTGAAAGGCTGATCGGCCCTTGTGTACCTCTGTTTACTATACCACGCACCATCAGGCTGAAAGACCAGAAAGATCAGATCATTCTTGCAGGACTGGAAAGCGGCCCCGAAAAGGGCAAAAAATTGCACAGTTTTCACTACATATGTAATCTTTCAAACACATCAAATCAAATTTGATCAAATTTATTTCTGTTTTACTATGATTGTTTTCTATTAATCTTCTCCCCCGCCCACTGGATCAACGATTCACATATGAAATGGACACATGAACAGACTTGACTTGAATTAAATTCAATGAAATGTTTTGTCATTTTACTTTTGTTATCTTCTGATGTTTAAGTCTCAAAGGTACAGTAGCAGCTAATCAAAACGGTTCTTCCCAGTCAAACGCAAATCGTTACCATATTTCAAATGAAAAAGCATTTTCAGAAAGGCTTTTTCATTTTAAGAACATATGGCTGCATTATTTGATTCATAAATAAAATTAGTAATCAATCATCCTATTTGCATTTGCATTTTGTTCTTCAAGACTGCTCACCCTTTTACTTAATTAAAATGAAAAAGAAAAAGACATAGAGGATCAACCAAGGACCAGCCAAGGGCCCATCAAGGAAAGTGGAGAAATCTTGAATGGCTAATACTGTAGAGGTAGGAAACTTGTAAAACTTTTTAGGCTGAGTGAAATTTGTTCTTTTTACACTTAAGGTTAGAATTTATAATGATAGAATTTCGCAAAGAAAATGTCCTTTTTATTCGTACTGTGATGCAGACATGTCTGCAGCTCAAAATGAAGAGTACTTAATTATAACTCTGTTCGTAGTAATCAGGAGCATATACATCCAGCGTGTGCCTGTCATATAAAAAAACTGAAACTCTTCTTCTCTGATTTTACCGTGTTTGTCTGAAGTGGCACAGGTGTGACGACTTGTGCCTCCAGGCTTTCATTTGGCTTCAGATTCATCAACAACGTGACAGATGCTACCCACAGATTTTACCATGGTTACCACGCTGTCAGAAGAAGGCTGTGGGCGTTCTGCGTTTAATTAAAGCTTGCTGAACTATTTAAGGCTTGCTGTACACTATTATATGGGGATATAGTTGGTCTTAAACAAAGGAAACGTCCGGCTGATCCAAATCAATTAAGATGATGTTGCCCATGTATTTTGTTTATCATTCTAACAGAATCCAAGGACATGAGAAGTTCTTTATTTTGCAAGAAATAAAGCCTTATGAATTTTTGTAGGTTTAAATATTTGCAAAAACTTAAAACTTACTTTGAATCTAGACTATAGCCGTCATTAAAGCCGAATGTTGATGCTTCCTGAACTGAATAACGGAAATGATAGGACTAATCAGGGACTGTATTGAGCCGCTCTGCTTTGAGTGAGACACTGTGCTTCCATCAGACCACCTGTTGCTTACACTGCCTCTAAACAGCTGAGCCCCTTCAGGCTATGAATGAAAGCTCATCAAATTAACGAGCAATGAGGTGTGAAAAACAGAAACATAAAAAAATAAAACATTTCCAAAGTTATCTCCCTTCCAGTGTGCTGGAACCTCTAGGTGACAGTCTGGAAAAGCGCCGCCCATCTTCCCATTCAGCAAGGTAAGACAATGTAATTCATTAGCTGGTTCCCAGCTGCCACTGGATTAGTTTTACAGGGTTGTGTCCCCATCTGAAGCACATATTCTCATGATCCACTAAACTACGTAGGGGTTGATCACTTTCCCCTTCCTCATCAGCTCTGAGTGACTTTCATCTTACAAAAGTAGATTAAAAAAAGCTAAATCATGATGAAATACTGCTGGTCCTGCTGCCATGTCACTGTTTGGTTCATTGTTAGCTCACTTTTGTTAGCTTTGAGTACATTTTGTTTCTCTTCAAGATAGATAATGTTAACAAATTAAAAACGAGGTTTGCTTCTACTTTTAAACAAAAAAAAGAAAAAAAAAGTATAAATAGACATAAGTGAAGCCTACCCTGCTTCTCAAAGCTAACCTGCTTTCCAAAGCTAACCTGCTGGGGGGTTGGGGTGGGAGTGGAAGGCATGTCGGACGGTTGCTCTGTGCCATGCTGCTGTACTCATAAGTACGGAGCCCCTCTTATGACATGGTCAAAAAAAATGTTTAATTGTGGCCACGAAGTAGTATTTCGTGGCCACGCAATAAGTTTAACGTGCGCACGAAATACTATTTCGTGGCCACGCAATAAGTTTAACGTGCGCACGAAATACTTATTAATAATATCCATAAATCCGCCCCTGTTTTCAGGCTTATGTTAACTGTAATTACTTATCATGGACAGGCTGCTATGTAAACGGGCCTTTAGTCCTTCGTTTAGCTATGTTGCGGTTGTTTACACTACGCCTTTTCCAGCTAAAATAGCGTCTTAGCAACAAATGTCACGTGACTGGCGGAGACCGACTGGGTAAGCAAATCGAGCGCGCCTTAGACCTTAGAGAAGGCGCGCTCGATTTGCTTACCCAGTTGTCCAGGAATGATGTTAATATTATTAATAAGTATTTCGTGCGCACGTTAAACTTATTGCGTGGCCACGAAATAGTATTTCGTGCGCACGATAAACTTATTGCGTGGCCACGAAGTAGTATTTCGTGCGCACGTTATACTTATTGCGTGGCCACGAAATACTACTTTGTGCGCACGAAATACTACTTCGTGGCCACAATAACAATTTTTTTTTGACCATGTCATCAGAGGGGCTCCGTACATAAGATATCTGAGACGAAGATAACATGTGTGAATTAAAAATGCAATTTTTATATGATGATTTCAATTTGACACTACAGTATGGAGCTCATCCCTCAAATACTAAAAGAAAAAACAAAACTATATGAACCAAACTTATTTCTTACTGTATTTACAAGTTTTGCTTCATATTTATGATTTGAAACAATATTTCTTTCTATAATGACGATGAAAAGTAATAAAGCCACATCATATCCAACATTTAGACTTGCTGAGGTGGTAAA